ATGTCTTCTATTCTCTTGGGTGTATACCAAGGAGTGGAATTGGTCATGAGGTACCTCTATGTTTAACATTTTGAGGAACAACTGCTTTACAAAGTGGCTGGCCATTTTACATTCCCATCCACGTGTAATATATGAAAATTCTGATTTCTTCATATCCTCACCGACAGTTGTTATTATATCTTTTTTATTACAGCCATCCTGGTGGGTATTACCTTGTAGTTTTGATGTATTTCCCTAATGACTAACGATATTGAGCATCTTTTCATGCATTTATTGGCCATTTGTGTATCTTCTTTGAAACAATGTCTATTTAAATCCTAAGCCCATTTTTAAATTGGGTTATTTTTTTGTTTATTGTTGAGTTGTAAAAGTTCTTTTTTCTTGTTGTTTTTTGAAATTCCAGTTAAGACCCCTCTTCATGAGGGGGTCTTCCAAGAACACTGTTTTCCTACCTTGGCCTGTTTGATTCCTGGCCAGGGTACATGCCCTTGTTTCAGGCTCTATCCCCAGTGGGGGGCATGCAGAAAGCAGCCAATTGATGTTTCTCACATCGATGTTTCTCTTTCTCTCTCTCTCAAAGAAAAAAAAACATTAAAAACAAAACACTCTTTCCCCAAATGTCCAATATTCTCAACTGGACCTACATTCTAATGAATTTCTCTGTACCTGGAACTGCTATCCCCTAAAGGACTAGGAACACGTTTTTCCTCCCTTTCTTTCTCATGCATCCCTCCTAGTTTTCAACCTGAGTGTTGTGCCTCCCCTCCTGTTTATCCACAACTAGCTCTCCTGTGGAACTCATGACTCCTCCAGTGAATTTACAGAATCAAGAAAGACCTTAACAATAGGTTTTTAGACCACCACAGATTTACTTGGTCTCACTCTGTGCTAAGCATGGTCCTTTTCTGAAATTAACTTATATGCAGGCACAAGTATAAGTCTTCATATTCCTACTACATTATGCCACCAAACTAAAGGACCCCTTTTCCTCTACAAAAGTGTCATACATCATTTACATTTTCTTAGTCTAGCTCCTCCATGGAGACTTTCTTAGCCACCACAACTTAAAATGTTTTCTCTCTACTCTGAAAAACCAAACAAACAGTAAGCGCTTGGAGAGTTCATTAATCAATTAATATCCATATTTAATGAATGCCCTTTACTTTAAGGACATATGAGGGGAAACCTCCACATCCACAGATGGTATTAAACAACTTACTAGAATTGCTGGAATGTGCCAATTCAGTAATAGAGTCCTAGAAGATACTCACAAATCTTCAAAATGTTCTGTGCTCTGGGAAACATTTAAATAAATACAACCAAATTTTTTTGTTGCTGATACTGTTAACTGCAGTACTTCTCAGAGTGTTTGATAAGATGGTGCACATGTGGAGAATCTCTACGAGAAGGAAAAATAATAGGCAGTGCTTCCAAATTGATTTGCCCTTTACAAGAGCACACCTATTAACATCCGCCCCAACATCATTCTTCCAGCATACCCTGGGAACTGCTGAGCTAATTCAATCGCTACTCAATTCTATCAGCTGGAAAGAAACCATATTTTCTACTGGGGTAAGGAACCAAATTTGCTTTCTTTTAGGATGCCATCAATTGGAATTCAGTCTATTAAAATGCCAGGTTACAGAAAAAAGAAAAAAGAAACCATACATTAAGTGTGTTCATAATTTTAAGAGCCATCTGGATTTCTGAAGTTGGAAAATGATGAAGTGTGAGAAAAATGTATATCAGAATTGAACATGCAGTACAACCCGAGTTTTAGTTTAAAAACCTCTAGGAAGGCTGAGGAGAGCAGTGGTCCAGGAATAGGCCGTGACTCTCTATGACCAGTGACTCTCTATGACCCCATGACAACAGCCCTGATGACCAAAGAGAAAGTATCATAATGACTGTCTCACAACAGACTTATCCACAGGAGCAAAGATATCATGTGGTCATGTGCTGAGAACAGTGAAAAACAGTGATAAGGAAAGAAGCTTCCCCCACACTGGAAAAAATCCTAGTGGTGGAACGTAGGGGTAACACTCAAAATATAAACATCAAGTTATAAGAAAGAATTTTCAAACAGAAACTTCCCTACTCATGTTAAGTACCAAAACCGTTTAAATTAGCTAGTAAGGCTTAAGAATTACAGCCCGAAGGTTGTTTCTTCACTGAGCTCTGATTACAGGCAGGAAGACAGGCATGGACCACAGCAGTTTTATCTACTGAAACACTAAGTGCTACACTTGAGTTTTTGAATAGGTTTCTGATTTACTGATAGGTTTCCCAAGTGCTAATCATTTTAAAACTAAAACAAAGCACAAATGCAAAGCTGAGATAAAGCATGATGGTCAGCTGGGACTCCATCTGGCACAGCAACGCGAGGCTAGTTTAAGTGCTGACCTCCTCTTACACCTAGTCCGCTTGGGCACTACATACACCTATACCTGCCTTAGGATGTCATCTCGGAACCCTCCTGACTCAGTGAGGATCTGGAAGCCTCTCTGATACAAAGCAGCTAAAATTCAATGTCACAATCTAGGCTACAGTAAGTCATAGTCATATTCAGCCCTGAATATTAGCTTAAGGGACAAGGAGAAGAGTTTAAGAATGGGCACAAAAGTGCTGGATTATAAGCTAAATAAAGGGAGTAGCACTGATACTGTACAGTTGTCCCTGAAAGTCCGCCTTCCTCCCCCTTGGAGAGTGAGAGCATCTCAGTTACTGCCAATACCACCATCCTCCAGAAGGAATGGAAGGCTTTCTCCAGATCTGACCACCAGGGGACATCTGTCATGGGGTGCACGTCACCTCCCCCAAGGCCTGGGTAAGCTGCCCATTCAGAGAAGACAGCACACTGGAATTCTTTTTAAACATGCTCATAAGTTCTCCAATCTTAAGGTTCTAGCTGCCAGAACTTTATGCAAACTCCTCTCTACAAATGTCTGAGATTCCCAAAAAAAGGAAATGAGGTAGTTACTGGATTTATCAACATCACGATCATCAATCTCAGTCTACCCAGGAGTGACCTAGAAATCAACAACTAAAACTAAATACTTTACGGTACAAAAAGGAGGGGAGATCCTATCTTTGTGTGTGTGTGTAAAATGAATTCATTTGAAGAGCAATCAGAATTATTAAAACTGGACACTGGTAAGCAGCACAGGTATTAGAAATATAAATGCTTTAGGCAAGTTCTTAAACACTGTCTCTATAGATGAGATATTAAAATAATAGAATTTCAGAACAAGCCTTATTCTCTTACTCTCTCTCATCCCATAAGTCAGTGAGTCTGTAGGTGTAGTCCAGGTGACTCTGATGCTCATGTTTGAGAACCACTGCCCTAGGAATGGGGGAAGACGCAGCGGGTGGCGGGGCAGGAGCCTGATGAAACCCTTACTAAGTGTGTCTGTCAGAGACAATCTCACCTGTTCTCGCCTCTGCTCAGCACTGACGCTTGACCTCACAGACTAATTTCCCCAACAAGGACTCAAGCCCTAGTTCAAGGTCACTGTTAGAGGTCAGGCCAGAGCTCCAGCCCAGGGTCTACTGACTTGTTCATCAACCTTGGAACTGAAACCAGGGCCGAGAACTCTGAACATTGATAAGGCGATCCCACACTGTCTCCTAATCTACACCATGCTTCCCTCTGACAAATATGAGGACTGGGGCATCTAAAGAGAGAGATTTAAAGGAAGAGAAAAAAGAAGATAAATAGCTACTCCAAAGACCCTAGCAACTAAATTTATTGGTAAGGAGTGGGTAGAGGGGAGAAGACTTAGATGTCTTGTTATAATTAAAAGATTGGTTAATTTAAAAAACAAACAAACAACTAAAGGGCACAGTAAGATATGAATAGTGCTTTAAAGTTTTCTTTGCATTTTTCATTTCCATTATCTCACCCAAGTCTCACAACAATTCTGCAATGAAAGGAGATGAGGTCACTATTATCCCCATTTGACAGAAGAGAAAACTGAAGTGGAGAGTGGCCAACAATTTGTCCATCAGCACAGTCATCCCCTGTAAAGCTACAACTTGACCTCAGGTCTATCTGGCTCTAGAACCTGTGTACCCACACCAGGTGACTCCCACATCTGAAAATGTGCCCCAAAGCACATTACCCTTAGGAAAAAGCACACAGAAAAATATGCAACACAAATGGTGCGCCCCTAACACATGGTACTTGAGCATTGTGTGGATGCCCCTTTAAGAACTTAACACACAAACTCAACAGCCAAGGTGTTCAGCCAAAAAAGAAAAAAAGAGAGGCATATTTCTAGCCTGCATAATCATTTCTGGACCAATTCCCACTAGCAGCCTCAGAGGCTGGCGAGCAGCAGCTCCCTGCCTGGCTGAAGTGCCTACACCCCCCACCCCCTCGGGTTATGACAGCACAGCTCTGACTCACGTGCAGCCAAAACCCCAAAACTCAAAACAAGAAGTGAAAAAAGTGGAGCCAAGAGAAACCATCAGCATCCTCCACACCCTCGCAACCCACACAATGCCACTTCCAGGGCCCTGGAATCACACGGAACACGATCTCAGGAGACCAGGGGGATGAGGTGGACGTTCCTGCGGACCCACAGGCCCTATTGCTTCCCACCCAGCCCCTGAGGAGGATAATGGAAAGGCCAGAGGATTCGCTAAGTCCTGGGGCCGGAGCCCAAGGCGGACACCACCCAGGCGCTCTCCTAAGGAACAGTATGTCCACCCTAACTCTCCACCTCTACTTCCAGGTCTTGTCTCTGCGAAGATGAAGGGCGGATTGAGGGGAGGGGGTGGTGGTAAGGTTTTGTAAAATTAATAAAAGTCTGGAGGGAAAACCGGGCTGGCCACCTACCCCAGCCACGCTGCCCTGCCGTGTGCGAGGCTCCGCTGGGCGCGCACCGCCACAGGGGCTAACGGAACCGGCGCCCGCGGCCAGGTCGGAGGTTGGGGAAGGGGCATCGCCCTAATGAGCTCCCTAGAGGCAGGGAGCCGTGCCCGTCAGGAGAGCCTACCTCAGTTTTGGCAAAAGTGATTTTCCTAGACGACGCCAGGGAAGCGAAGATCTGGGTGTTGCGTGGATTTCAGCCGGGGGTGGAGGAGCTCAGCCCGGGGCGCAGCGACCCCCTCTGCTCCTCCACACGGGGGGATTCGGGCGGCACTCTCGGGGCCATCGTACCGCGGGCACGGGGAGAAAATAGGGCTCCATCCTCAACTTTCTCGGAGGAAATGCTCCGCTCCGCGGCTCGCCCAACCCTCCCGCACGCCGGGTACCAGGTTTGGGGGCAACCAGGGACCAGAATCGCTCCCGGCGCGCACTAAGCAGCTGAGCCGGGGCGCGCAGCCCCCTATCCCGCCGCCCGCCAACTTGAAAGCATCTATCTGGGCGCCTGCCTACTCCTACGGCCCCGGAGCGGGGTCCCTGCCCTGGCCTCCCGCATCGGACAAGAGCCCCAATCGCTGCGGCTGCTGCAGCCGCAACCCCCCTGGCTGGCTTCTGCCTCCCCCTCCCGCTCCCCACGCCCCG